GTTGAGGAAATTCTTTTCGACGGTAAAGTAATTTGGCAAGAGGTGGATCAGAAGGTAGACCGTCTGAACGTTGATGTATTTGCGTGGCATGGGCGTAGTCTTGGCTATGGGCTCGATGCCCACAAAGGCGCTTTCGAACGAGGACGACGAGCTCGGGTTCTGCGCTGCCTCGACGCCCTGTTTGTTTATGACGCTGCCGAAAATGGTGCGGGTCGGACGCGCGGGTTTGATTACGATGGCGTCGCTCTGCGATAGAATGTATGGCATGAGATTGTCCATGTTTTGGATCGAACTCAACCACTTGTTGAAGACGCGCATGTTTTTCTGAAATTCGAACGGTTCCCCGTATTTTCTCAGTGTGGGTACGAGCTCAAAGAGTTTGGAGAGGTATTCGTTTTCGCGCTCGTTTAGCTTGTAATCTGCCAACTCGGTAAACATGCGCTGAGCGACCGAGTGAACGAACGAAGCCCCCGAGAGCTGCAGTCGGCGCGGGGACGTGTCCACGTCAAATAATTTGGCCAACACGCGAACGTCCTCCACGGTAACGTTCAGCTCCGTTTGTTCGTCGGCGAAATGAACACCCCTGGGTCGGTCTGCCATTTTTTTATTTAGTCTTTTTCTCTTTTTGGGCAATCTCGATGAGTTTCTTCCTCAAGATCTCGGCCCTTCGTCGCCGCGTTGGTGTCTTCCACGGCGCCGCAATAGACACCCTTGGAGTAGGTTACGATCTCTTGGTCGCAGATGCAATCGACGTAGTATACGATGTCTGCGTCGTCCGCACCCACGATCGAGTCTCAAGCGCCGTCAGACTCGAGAAGGCATTCACGGAAAACAGGTACTCGAGTCTGTAGTCGTTCAGAAATTCCAAATCGAGGATGCTTCGCCCCCAGTCTCTCCCCCCCCCACGGTAACGTCCAGCTACGTCTGTTCGTCGGCGAAATGAAACCCCCTGGGTCGGTCTGCCATTTTTTATTAAGTATTTTTCTCCTTTTGGGCAATCTCGATGAGCTTCTTCCTCAAGGCCTTGGCCCTCGTCGCAGCGTTGGTTGCTTCCACGGCGCCGCAGTAGACACCCTTGGAGTAGGTTACGGTCTCTTGGTCGCAGATGCGATCGACGTAGTATACGATGTCTGCATCGTCTACACCCACGATCGAGTCGCAAGCGCCGTCAGACTCGAGGAGGCATTGAGACAGGATCTGTTCTCGCTTGAAGGCGATTCGATTCAACAACGCGTCGTCTATCGTTTCCATCGCGTCGCAGCTACCCAGATCTATAGCTGGGTCCAGGCCCTCGTCGTTTGTGCCGGCATCCTTCAGGGCCTTGTAATATTCGTACCCGGCCGCCACGGAAGCGGTGTGAGTTGTAAATATAGACTTGCAGCGATCGTCGATGTCGGTTCGGAACCCCACGGGAAACAGGTACTCGAGTCTGTATTCGTTCAAAAAATCCAAATCGAGAATCTTTCGCCCCAGCTTTATGCGGTCAGGAAACGCGTCGTAGAGTGCGTCCAGAGTCTCGGCCGGATTCAGGACGGTCGGGTACCAGTCCATGGGTTCGTTCGAGTATATCCTACGGACGTCGTACTTGTTGTCCCTACACGCTTCCAAAAGGTCGAGCAAAGGCAGGAGGGGTAGGTATCCGACGTCGGATCCATCGACGCTCACCACGCGAAGTAGTTTGGCGTACATGACTGGTTTGTTGTGAAAGAGCGCCAGCCAAAAGATGGAAGGATAACATTCGTAACGGTTGTACGCCAAGATGCTCGTAAAATTTGTCTCCAAGTAGGCGCATCCGATGGCCAGGCAAAAGTATCTCTTGTACAGCGACACGGTTTTGGGGCTGCCCCACGAATAGAGCCCGCTCTCTATCACTTCTGCCGCTCGTGCAAATACCTGCATATCCGTGTAGTTACCGTACAGCTTGAGTCTGGTGAGTTCCTGTAGGGCTTGTAGGCACCAGAGACTGTCGGCGCTACCCGATTTGATCACATCGGATGAACGATACAGGCGCAATTCGGGACTGACGTAGTAGTTCCAGACTTCGTTGTGTCGCAGGTTTTGGTCCCCGAGCACTAGTTTGATTATCGAGTACACCACGTATGCCCTGGTGCATGTCTCCGCGGCCAATTCTCGGTCGGTGGCGAAGGAGGCCTTGAACAGGACGTTGTAGTTTCGAGCCGCTCGAACGACGTTTCGCAAGAACGGATCGTCGTCGTTCACGTCTCGCAAATCGTGCCACCGGAGTAGCGCGTTCACCGCCTGCAAAGTTTGGTGAAGGGGCACATCTTTGGTGACCTGAGGAGTAACTTTGCAAAGGGTCATGTCCAGTACGTGTGGGTGGCGTTCGCTCATGATCCCTTTCAATAGGAGCATGGCGGTTGGCGATAACCAGCGGGGTAGGGAGAGAGACGGGCTTCCGTCGTTTCGTTCTCTGTTTGGAGAATCGACGACCTCCACGCCGAGACGGACGTAGTTGACTATGTCTCGTCCTTCGCTATAGCAATCCGTCGGGTTCTCGCATTCTGACAGCTGCCTAGTTGGAGGTCCCGACACTAGCTTGCAAGTCACGAGCCTGTCCGGTCTTCTTCGACTCTGATGGGCGAATGCGGCGTTGGGTTGGTCGTCTTCGTCCTCGTCGTATAGGCTCCATACGCGTTCGCTATACTTTGCGTTGGGGTACCGCTTATAATCGTGCATAAATGAGGCGAGCGGATCGATCCACTGGAAGAAGACGGCCAATACGTTTCTGGGGTCGTGGCGAGACGGAAGTTTGAGTTTGTGGATGAAGGGAAGGTAGACGAGATTATAGAGAAACTTTACGTCGTCCGTACCACCTCCGTCCCTGTAAGAGGTGAGGCGTCTCGTAACAGAATCGACTATTGCTTCGTACAAGTCCTTACCTGTCTTTAGACGTCGTTCGTCTATGTTTAGTCTGTTTGCGAGGATCTTTGCATCTGCGACGGTTAGATACGGTGCCGACATGTTTTTATTCTAAACACACCAGCCATTTGTAGGGATCCAAAAACTTTATTATTTTCAAATGTAGCGCACGCCAACGTCCAAATTCTGTGGGATCTTGGCAAAGACGTATTCGAGTTCCATGTGCGGCAAGAGGATTTCTGGTCTCAGGTCTTCCGGCGCAAATTGCATGTACGATAGCAGATGACCGGCAAAGTCCCTCGCTCTGATTTCGTTGGGCCCGTTAAAGTTGACGATGTCCTTGAGTGCGTTGGCGTACTTGACGAACGCGTAGATCGGAGCAAATATTTTGGGGTACTCGCTCGACACGCCGGGAAGTTTGCCGTAGCAAAAATGGACGCGACCGTCCTTTGATTTGTTGTCGGCGAGCACGCCGGCCATCTGCATGTTGCAGTCCAAGACCAGTCGGAAGAGGAAAGTGACGATTTCGTAGCGTTCTTCTTGCTTCGCCTTGTTTCGACCGTGGTGCAGAACAAAATCTAGATACTCGGGTCTCTTTTCGAAAACCGAATGTAGCACGTACAGGTTGGTCTGTAGGGCCTTTAACCGTCTACACTGCACGTAGTCTCTAAACTTTACCAGGTAGTATGCTTCCAAAAAGGCTAGGCAGAGATAGCGTTTCTCCAGAGATATCACGTCGACCGGGTGGTACTTGCTGCCAAACGGGTAGCGGCCCGTGGCCACCGCCTCCTCGGCCCTCGAAATGATGTGTTTGTCCTTGTAGCCAGCCTCGATTCTTGCGTCGCTTGGCACCAACATCAGGAGGCGTTCTAAAGCGCGCAGGCAAAAGGTGGACGTGGCCGCGTGCGTCGTCAACACAGAAGTGAGCGTGTCCACCTTGCACTTGTCTGTCACGTACAGCTTGTACAGGTCGTGCGGTCTCAGCGAATCGCCTGAGGCACCCATGAGCATCTTAATTAGGTAAAATCGTAGCATGTTGCAAGTGTTCTTCTCGAGAATCTGCTTGTCGGTCGCCAGTGAGGCCTGAAAAACGACGTTACGCTTGCGCGCCGTTATGTTTATGCGCTTCAGAAAGGTTTGCGAGTCGTTAGAATCGAACAGGTCAAAGGCTTGCAACAGTCCGTTAATGTTGTCTATGGCCTGTCGCATGTTGATTTGGGACTCGCGCGAAGATTCAATTTTTTTCGAAACTATACAACACGCCAGGTCCAGATTGAGTGGCTTGTTGTAAGTCAGGATCTCGCCAATCAGTAATAGACTCTGTACGCTCAGGTGCTTGACGTACGTCGGGTAAATGGGCGTGACCGTCATCGAAGTGTTGGGTTCTTTGAGGGCGTTCGTGTTTAGGGCATTTTTCTTTGACTTGGCCGCCGTTGCCACGTCCACAACGTCCAGTTCCATCGGGCAATCGGTCTTGTAGGCCACGGACACGTCGGGGACGCGCCGCACTTTATCCAACCACCCCATAAAGTACTGGAGTAGAACCTTAAAATCGGTCGTCTTGGGTGGCGACGACGTCGGCAGGACTTCTTCCAGCACCTCGGTCATGTAACCCAGGGCCCTGTCTACTCTGCAATTCTCCTGAATCTCGGAAAACATGCGAGACACCACCAAATGCACAAACTGCGCGCCCGTCATGGCCTTGTCCGCGCTCAGCGCAATTCCGAATCGATCGGCGGCGGCTCGCACCTCGGTGTTACGCGCGCGCGGATAGTCGTACGTACTGAGGTTGACGACGGTGTTTTCGTGTTCCATGATCACGCCGCTAACGGCGTCCACGTGCGTAAACTTGTTTGTGACGTACTCGTTGGCATTTTCACCCAGTCTGATGTGGACCGGGTCTTTCTCTAGCAGCGGATCCATATTTTATTTATAACCTTTTTATGACCTCGGTCGTTATCGGAAGCTCCGCCTCACGCGCCATAAATATATCGAGGGGGGTCGCGGCGGATCCATATTTTATTTATAACCTTTTTATGACCTTGGTCTTTATCGGAAGCTCCGCCTCACGCGCCATAAATATATTGAGGGGGGGATCGCGCTCCGTATGCCGCATAAAGATGTATCTCTACGCCGTCGACTACGAGTACGTGTACGACAAGTTTAGCGGCAACTCGAAAATGGCGATTTATTGCAAAAGAAAGGGTCGCGACGGTCTGTACGTGTCCTGCGTGGTGTACGTGCTATGGTCCAGCTACCTTTACGTTTCCGTCAAGGAATGCGCCATTTACAAGTACGAACGATGGGGTGGAAACGAGGACGACAACGAGTCCGACGCCGACTATGTCAGGCGTGATGTCGTGGATGGGCGACTGCAGCGACAGAAACTCGAAATGTCGTCGGCTTCCAACGTGCGGTGCGAGGTGGTCGAGAAGCTCAACGGCTATGGATTCCGCGAGGCTGAAGACGTCTACCTCAAGGTGTACATCTCGGACCCCAAACTCATGCGGGCGTTTCTCCAAGGCATGCCGGCCGGATCCACCTTTGGCGGCCAAGTGGATTCCATCATCCAGTTTATGGTGGACCTCGAGGTTGCGCCCTGGCTCTACGTAGAGGACGACAAGATACGAAGCCTGCAGCGGAACGGCACCTGTTTTTCGCGAAGAATCGAGGAGTTTGAAGTCGTGGACTGTAGGGATCTGAAGCCGGTCGTCGAAGAGTTTGAGTTTGATTTCGACGCGGCCGACAACACACGTGCGTCGCACTGGGACTTTGGTAACCGCATCGTGGATTGCCGAACGCACTGCCGATTTCTGCACTCGGACACCTGCAATCTAGAAGAGTTTGCCGCTGAGCTGAAGAGGCAGCACGTCAACGTTACCCGGTCTTTGGCGGGGCCTTCGCGTTACTATCTCCGCGTCTGCCACGAAAAGGTGAACACCGACTTTAAGCTAAAGTGGGATGACGACTACGTGCGGTTCGAGAAGGGACCGACGAAGGCCGTGACGATAGTGGACAGGGCCACGAACGAGGCACACTGCACCTTCGACGATTGGCTGTGGCGTTGTGGACGGACGGCGACTGGGATCGCCATCTCGAGAAAGTTTGAGTGTAGGGAAAAGTTTAGCTACCGCAAACCACTCGACATACCTCCCGTGGTCACAATGTGCTTTGACATAGAGTGCATAAGCGACGACGAAGTGAACTTTCCCATCGCCAAGCTGGGGGATTCCATAATTCAGATTGCCTGCGTCACCGTACACGACATGCTTCGCACAAAATTGACCGACTATTCGAAAGCCGACTGCATACAAAAGACCGTGTTTACGGTGGGCTACTGCTCGCCCATCCCCGGCGTCAGAGTCGTGAGCTGCATCGACGAGAAGGAGCTGCTGAGGGCATTCAACTCGCACTTTGTCGAGATGGACCCGGACATTGTCACCGGCTACAACATAATCAACTTTGACTTTCCCTACGTGTTGCAGCGAATGGACATGCTCAAGGTGACCCAGACTATGAGCAGACGCAAGTGGTGTCGGTGGACCCACTACCACAAATACGCCAGTGGTCGCATCGAGTATTTCAAGCCGCCGACGCCGGACAACCTGGCCAGTCCGGAATGGCGCAAGTGCGTGCGCGACAACCAGGCCAAGTCGTGGAACACGGAGATAGTCTTGACCACGCCGTCGCGGGTCGTCATCGACATGTACAAGATTATTCAGGAGGGGCAGTTTCGCTTGCGGCGGGAGACGCTGGACGCAGTCTCTTCGCACTTTCTCGGCGGTGAGACCAAGGAAAACGTAAAGTACAAGGACATGTTTCGGCTCTTTCACGGCGGACCCGACGATAGGAAAAAAATTGCGAGTTACTGCGTCCAGGACTGCATGCTGCCCCTCAAACTGATGACCAAGCTCACGACGCTCGCCTCGACGCTCCAGTTTGCCAAGGTCAACATGATACCGATGCGCTACGTGCACGGAAAGGGGCAGCAGATCAGGGCCTTTTCTCTGATTTTGCACGAGGCGAAGGCGCGCAACATGATCTTTCCCTCCTTTGTGCCGCCCGTCGGTATGGACAGTTTCCAGGGGGCCACCGTCGTGGAGCCGTGCAGGGGCTTTTACCAGAGCCCGGTGCTGACCTTGGACTTTGCGTCTCTTTACCCCTCGATAATCATTGCTTACAATCTCTGCTTCACGACGCTCAAGACCAACGTCGGAGAAAACGTCGGCGAGATGGTCTATCACCGGAACGCGAGGCTGGTGTGTGACAAAGTGTCGGACGAAGAGCCTCGGAGGCAGGCCACGATAGGGGCGGTTTTCTCTCGTGACATCAAGCCTGAGCTCAAGAAGAAGCATAATGTCAAGCGATTGCAGAGGGGGCAAACCACTTTGGATAAGTTTGTATCCAAACCTCGCCAGACGTCCGTACCCGCCGCTGTCGCGCGAGCATCCGCCTCGCACAAAGAGGAGGTGGAGTTTGCCAACGGCGAGATCCTAACCCCGTCCGGCGATCGCTTCGTCGACCCGAGCGTGAGACTGGGCGTCATCCCGAAGGTGATTGTTCGACTCCTAAACGCTAGACGCGAGGTCCGCGCGGAGATGAAGAAGGAGACTGACCCTTTCGTCAAGATGCTGCTCAACAACCAGCAACTGGCCATAAAGTGCACCGCCAACTCGATGTACGGCTTCACCGGTGCGCTCGAGAAGGGAGTGCTATCTTGCGTGCAAGTGTCGCGCAGCGTCACGGCCTTTGGCAGAAGACTCATCGGCAGGACCAAGGCGTACGTCGGCGAGTATCAGGAGCGCGTCGACGACGGCGAGTTTGCCGAGGAGTACGTCGAGGTCCCTCCGCCGCGCAACCTTTCCGTAATATACGGCGACACTGATTCCGTGATGATCAAGACGCCAGACGGAACCAGCATCGAGACTGCTCTCGTGTGGGGCGAGAAAATTTGCGAGTGGATCAACGGACATTACCGGCGTCCCATAGAGTTGGAGTTTGAAAAGATTTATTGCCCATACATTCTATTTACGAAAAAGCGCTACGCCGGTAGGATGTTTGTCGACGCCAACACTCCTCCCAAGGTCGACTGTAAGGGCCTGGAGAACGTGCGGAGAGACACCTGTCCCTACGTGTCGGAAGTCGTCTCCGAGACCATTTCGATCCTGGTGGAGAAGAACGACGTGAAGGGTGCCGTGGCATACGCGAGCAAAGCCCTGTGCGACCTGAAAAACCAGAAGGTGACCATAGACAAGTTGTTGATGACCAGAGCCTTGAGTAAAAAGGAATACAAATCTACGATGCCTCACGTCGAGGTGGCCAGGAAGATGGCGAGTCGCAATCCAGGTTCGGAACCGCGGGGAGGAGAGCGCGTTCAGTTTGTGATGAAGGCGTTCAAACCCTACGAGGTGGAGAGGCTACGGGGGACAGATTACCTTACCGGCAAGCTGGTAAAGGCGGCCTATCGCGCCGAAGACCCGGCCCATCTCTTGAACTCGGTCGACGAGGACATTGACTACGAGCACTACGTCAAGATGCTGAAGCCGCCGCTACTCCGGATATTTAGCGTCGTCCTCGCGTGCCACGAAGCGGAGGCAGCGCGGATCGTCTTTGGCGCAAGCGACGGCATTCGTAATCGTCCTGCGCTCGAAACGAGTGCGCCGTTGGCCAGGTTTGTAGTCCGCCAGCCTCGCTGTACGAAATGCAGAAAGAGAAAGAGCTCGTCTTCCGTTGACCAAGGATGCGACTGCGGCGCTAATGACGGCGACTGCGACGAGTCCGTCCACGACGGGATCGGTGCACATGCCGAGAAGGTCTTGAACTTTTTAGATATATGTAAGCGGTGCACGGGCAAAAAGTCGGCGGGGGAAATCTCGTGCACGAACCAGGACTGTAAATATTTTTTCGTGCGGAAAGAGTGCGCGCGATTATTCGATCGGCGCTACGGCAAAGTGTCTCACGCGGAGTGCAACGAGTGTCGCGAAAAACCGTGTTCGGTGGCCCTGTGCATGCGGGAGCTGCGGGACATGTTGGACTGGTGACGTCTTCGTTGACTAATAAAAATATGTATCAACCCAATCAGAATACGAATATCAGAATTCCTATAGATTTGTTTATCGCGTACTGGCGCGGTGGCGGGACCTTTGGAGTGAGTCAATTGTACGAACATTTGAAGGAATCGGCTTGGGCTGAGATATTGCAAAGTACCACGGGATTTTTTAGCGCTCTAAACATTAATACTCTAGTCAAGTGTTTAAAGAACACGACTCACGGTCAGTTGGCTGCTAACTATGCGAACGCCGCGCTAGTGCCCGCCGGCTTCGACGTCGTTTGGAAATACAATCCTTGGATACGCGTTAATGACCAAGCTGGTGCGGAAATCTCCGCTTTGAAATGTAGAGAAACGTACAAGGCTGGCACGGATGAAGTTCAAATTACTCCGGATGTTACACATAAAGCTCTTTTCCAAAAAACACCAAAGGACGATGTTTACGATAAGGCCCCCACGTTGCAAATCGTTTTGATTCCGAATCAAAACAACGGACACTGTCTTTCTATAGACTTTGACATATACGCGTATAACAGTTATAGGATGGGTCGCGAAGTAGTCACGCCCGCCGTGTACACCGCACTCGCCAAGAGCGTCGAAGTGTTGTATTCGCAAGGTGCGCGCTCGCTAGCACCTACGTATCTATTCCCAACGGTGCAAAGATTGATGTCCTTCAAGAATGTTTTAGAAAACGAAGAACACGTGCGCATATACGACGCACTATTCATGCACCCTTACAGGAGCGACTACGCGCTCTGGACCGAAATTTGCGACAGGCTGGACCCCATCGTGGGGGTGCGAAGCCACGTCGAGTTTAACGGAGTTCTCGCCACTCTGAAAGAGCTTCAAACGAAAATCGAAACGTTTTGCGGGTTCGGAGCGGCTTCGGTGGGTATACACTATACGCAATCGATCGATCCCAACGACGAAGTCATACAGACCAGTTCGGCATTGTCCGTGTTTTCGCACAGAACGATTCCCGACACCTTGGTGAACAAGCACCAGTTACCAACGTTTCACGACGACGCCATCAACTGTCTACTCGTTGGCGTGAAAGAAATGTATCCGCTCAATGCGACGATTTCCGTCCGGTATTGCGCTCTGATTTGGTTGTACAAGGCCATGGTGACCAAGAAACACTTGCCCGTCCTCAAAGCTTTAGAAAAGTGTAGACCCGTTACGCTCTATGTCTGCAAGATGCTTTTCGGAGATATTAACGAAGACGAAACGTACGACGCTACGTTGGCGTCTATGGATAAAAGAATCAAGAGGGCCATAATTTTTAACTCCGAATGTTATCCGGCCGTGAAATCTATACAGGCGTACGGACAAGCCGGTAACACTGTCGTAGATGCGGTATGCCCTTACATTGCACAAGATAACGATTTTAAAGAAGTCATGATAGCTGCTTTAGAAGTTTTTAAAAGCGGATCGGTGTATCCTGTGAGTTGGCAACACGGGACCTCGTTTTTTCTCAAAAAGCCCAACGGTCAGGCCACCGATTCGAATGTAGTGTTAATGGATTTAATAACGAAGGACGAATGGTCTGTCGGCTATGTCCTACAACCTCTATGCGACAAGCCGACGTATACGACGTATCCTGCAAATACGGAACATATATTTAACGCTAAAGGCGATCAGCACCTTAAAGAGACGCAGTGCGTGTTCGGTCAAATGACCTTGATAGAAAGGCTATTAAGTTTGTACTACGCGTCCGACGCATCTCCTAAGAAAGGTAATAAGGCCGGCGCAAATTATCTAGAAGAGCCTGCCGTAGATCCCCTACCGACTCAGTTAACGTCCTTCGTGAGCTTGTACACAAGGACTAAAGACGTTCCTTTACAGAGACTACAGATACACGAAAACGTGAATTATTTGGCCAAGCTATGCAGTGGAGAGGACGCTTGGGCACCAGGAATGTGCGAGATTCTACTTCGCTGTATCGATAAGATGGATCCCACGCACGAATATGTTACAATGTACAATAAGAAACACGAAGACGTGGGAGTCGATTCGGCCATTAAAGATGCCGTCATACAGATCGTTCTGACTGCCATCAAGGACAAATCTATGGAACCTTTAAGGTCGAACGAGGTTCCTCTAGAAGGGGGTAACAAGGACTACGTCTTGGCCTGTGAGGAATGTTTAACGCCTCTAGTGAATGCGATCGCCGTCAACCTAAAAAGGACTGTAGTTCCGATGATCAACGGTAAACATGCAAATATGTTTAACGCGGGGGAAAGTCTCCAGGACGTGGTACATTTCGTGTCTGCGTACAGCGTGGCTCTCCTGAAGTATTTCCACCTATACACCTTCTTCGACCACGATAAATTCGTTACTCAGATCGACAAATACAGATCTTGTTTGGACGACGAAGAAGGGGATGCGCAGATCCAGACGCCGACTCTTAAAGTGTGGAACGCCCTCGTAGGCGACGACACCGAGATCAGACCGCAAGCGCGGTACGCCACTTTACCCGACGTGGCATTTCTACCCGTTACAAAACTCGACGACGTTAGGCGCAATCTGAATAGACCTTTCGTATCGGATCTATGGTATAGCATTGATGCCATGAGACTCACCAGACGTTCTTACAAGTCTCTGTTGAACGGCACCGATCCTTACAACATTTTACTCTCGCAGGACGGGAGTGGCTTTTATAGGTATCGAATATTGGGGAAGCGAGACTTTTTTCTCTACGAAAAATACGTCCCCTTTACACACTCGCTACCCGTTCCCAAAGAGCCGCGCCCGCCAGGATGGCAGCGAGATCCAGAAAGTATCGTCTCTACGCGCCCGGAGAGCATATGGGACGTGTTGCAACCTGACGGGCAGTTTATGTCTAATAAGAATGCCGATAACATAACGCCGATCAAAGAAGTGTGGAAGTTGCAAGACGATTTTAGCAAAGAAGAAGCGATTATATACGCGGCTATACTCTGCCCACACGGCACTCCACTACACGTCTACGCGTCCGTGACCACTCGATGGCTGCGGGACGTCGCCATACCCTACGTGGAACATTTCTACACCAGCCACTTACAAAACGCTCGTCTGCGAGAAGTGGCCGCCGCATCTCTATGTTCGGTCGACGACTCCAACTACATTTTTCCGACCGATCCCCGAACTACCCTCAAAGCCCAGTACGAGGTTACGGACGGATCGGGATGGATCTTGACGACGTTAAACGAAGCGTGCGATAGAATAACGAGGATGGAGAACGCGCCGGAAGAAGGTCGCAAGTACACCGTCGTGTTCCCGGCCTGCACGCCGCGTCTCCTGATTTACCTTCTCTACCGATACGTCTTGAACAAGGAATTCGCCTCGCCCACGAAAAGTGTCAGGAGCCTGTACAGGGCCATCAAGCGGTCTCCAGACGACATGAACGTTAGACGACGGTTGATGAGCGACGTAAGCGTGATTTCGGAAAACTCGAAGAACGTATTCCACCTGGCTAAACCGTACCCGAGCATCAAGGACGCTTACGGGAGCAGGCGGTTGGCGTCCGAAAGCGTGGACGACATCGTCGCGGCCGTGGCACTGTACGTCTATGCGGCCGGCTTCTTTGACGTGAACGTGCCCCTCCCCTCTCTCGAGTACCAAGTCCCCGTGGGAGACGGGGGTTCTCTGTTGGCATACATGCGAGGCGTCTGTCAGCGATACTGCATCAACGACGTGGTCAAGATCATCTCCGACGTTCTTCTTCACGTCAAAAAGATATTCGTAGCCGAAATCTCTCTCAAGCTCTCGAGCACGGTCCACAGCCCACCCAAGCTCTATCTAAAGAGCAACGCCGAGAACAACAACCTGTCCTTGTTCTCCAAGCAACCGACGTACGTGGACTGGAAATTGCGCGCCACCGAGAGCGAGAAACTCTACGACTTTGTATACGCGTGCGTCGACTACGCTCACGGGGTGGCGGACGCAGATAAAAAGACAAAGATAAAAGCTTTGGTAACGACTTTATTACTGGAATCGAACGTCTTGAGCTCTGTGCGAATGGTCGCCGTGGACGGCGACAATCTCGACGAGGTCTCCAGAATTCTGCTCGACGAGGACGACAGGGATCCGGTCTCGTACGCTACCCTGGTGAAGGTAGTAGACGCCAAGGTCCCCGGCCGTAAGCGCAAGATAGACCTGATCGAAGAAGCCTCCGCCACCGAGGGAGAAGACGACTTTGCCAAACACCGTCTACTACAATGTCACTGATTAAATCGCTTCCTTGATGAGAAAGATGTTGTGGATTAGTTCGGTGTCGTCAAAGTCCATTAGAGTAGACTTTACGCTCTGGCTGATCTCGACGACGCAGCGGTCGTACTCGGCGTCGCCGCAGTTGGGGTTGTTCATGACGGGGTTGAACGCGGTGTTGTTGGGGTTGACGCTCTGCATGATGAAGACGTAGAGCATGCGCACGTCTCTAAAGTTGGCAATCGCGAAGAATCGCTTTAGAGCAGTCACTTGGTGTTGGAGTTTGGTAGTCGATATGTAGTTGCGAACCGTAGCGTGTGTGAGGTGGTCTTGTATCGTCTCGATCATGGTGTGGGCCAGGACCACGTAAATCATTTGCCATACGAATTTGCCGCTGTACAGATTAGTCATCGCAGTCGAGAAGGACGTGAAATCGTTAAAATCGGCTCTCACGATTCCGTGCTCGAACACCAGGGGCGAGTAGTAGTCCGACATGCCACCGTACACCCAAAGGTATTGTAGGGTGGGTAGAGATCCACCCAACAGTACTCCGCTCTGTTTCGAGTTTGCAAATATGCCAAAGATGGTCTTTAGGTTCGTGGACAATAGAAAGTTGTAGTACCTTCGCTTGTTCTCTGGCGACATGTCGACGCCGGTCGCAATCGGCAAGATCGCCGACGTCTCGAGGTTGATATTAGTCAATTTGCGATTTACCGCGTAGTTGACGATCGCGTTGTACAGGGGGTCAAACAAGTTTGCGTTTCTATAGATGACCCTGGTCGTGTCGTCTACCGTGGGCCGATAATTTGCCTTGGTGATGATCTCGTGTATCGCACTGGCCGTATTTCCGATCGCGCAACCAATTAGCGTGCGTCTTTTCATGGCTTCTAAGAGC